TAGGGGTGTGGGGGAGGGGGAGCTGGTAGTGTCACTCGCTCTCTGCTAGTTCTCCTTACCTACTCTGGGTCTTGTATTTTTGAGTACAGTCTCAGGCAAGGGTCAGTTACCAGCTAACTGTGGAACAGGATGGGGCAGGAAGGGAGAAAAATATCCAGTTCTCTGCTTTTATCCTTTTTGCCAAATCTTTCCCTTCCTTAGTACTTAGTGCCTCCTGGCCTGCCATTCCCAGTAACTCTTCTTTTACTTAACTCTTCTCCTTTTGTTGACAGTCTTTTCTTAGAAGTCTGTTAATATCTTTCATTTTCTGTACCTGGTCTTCCTTACTCTTTCTGCTTTTTGAATAATACTGTTAAGGGGAAAGGATGTCCTAAAGGAACTCTGCAGAGTTTTGTGGACTCCACCCCCTACTCCAGTGACTGGAAACTACAACTCTCAGCAGTACCGAGGAGAGAACTGTGAGGACCCAAGGGCAGAGCTAAGTAGGTATTCTGGGACTTTGAGGGATAAACAGGGAGCAATTTTCAATGGCTCTCTCTCGGGGGTTTGGGCAAAGGCTCTCTAGGGACCGTGTGATTGGTGGCTATCAGTTTGTTACCAGAGCTCCAAGTTAGCTGAGCTGGTAAGATATTCTAGTTACCTTGTAGCTCTCTCTATTTCCCTGGGTTGTTCCTTTTCCTTTCCCCTTTTGTAAATAAACCAGTTATCGACCCTTTTGTGTGTGTGCCTGCAGTACAATTAAATTTTAAGTGCACAGGTGAGGACCCACAGACAGGCAGCCCAATTCACACTGGGTTGCCCTGTAACAATACTACTTTTATTTCTTTACTGTTGTTCAGTGAAGTTTTGGGAGGGGAGGTACATTGTTCTAGCAGACATTGGGTCAGCAATGTTATGTCAACAACAACAAAAATTGGACTGTCGTTATATTTGGGTAATATAAATTCACTTAGGTCAAACTGCAAATGGGGGGAAACTAAAACAAAAAAGCTTAAATGGTTATCAATTAAACTACTAATTTATTTATCAAATATTTACTGAACACATACTGTAACACCAGTCATTTATCTAGTTTAAGTAATTATATTTCCTCCACAATAAAATGTAAATAATCAAAGCAGCTAAGTATTAAATGAGATAAAGCATGTGAAACACTTAGCAATGCATATCCTCACAGTAACTGATAAATAATGACAGTGATGACCACAAAGATAATCCAACATTCCTCCTGGCAATGCTTCAG